TAACTAGACACTCATTCGTTTGGACTGCTAATAAATCGTTTTTATGACAGTTAATGACACCCACCTGAGGTCTTAATTCAAATAATGCAAAAGTGCAGAATACAGCCGTCAAACAATTTTTGAAGGGAGTTAAGTAGAAAAATCTCAAATAAATAGATGCAAAAGAAATGCATGAATTGCAAAAAAAAACTAACCTTATAACAAGTGACTTCAGATAAACTTTTCTTATCTGGAAACAACGACAGGTCAATTGGCTGCACGGTACGATTTGATGCAGGATTTGACTCGGACTGCTGCAAATAGGAGAACAATTATGGCGCTCATGAATTCTTTAGTGGATACCATGGGAAAAAATTGCTGTGACTTCTCAGGCTTTGAAAGAAAAACAAACTTCATACTTTCATAGGAGTATACAATGGCATTTTTGACTAAGATATGAGTACTGTTCTAATGTTACATTTACACTGTCTCTCCTAGCCTCCAATGCGAACTTCCCCGAAGGAAAGGTGAAGCATGTATATATACTGCCGACCCATTGGAGACTGCCCATTATTTACATGTCTAGCGCATGAGACAAACGCGCTTTTTCAAAAACTTTCGATAACTGTCTATACATTTTTTTAAAGGAAAATCACTTATTCTTCAAATACTAAACTTTTAAATGCTCAAAATGAAACGACACAGGCGATCGGGAAAGTATCTTGCGGTTCCACGCATCCCAAAATGTGTACCACCGTGAAAGGCGCAGTCGTCAATGGGTTAAGGAGAGACTTGCAGAACCAACCTTGTTTTGCTGGGTTGGTAGGTGTGGACAATGAGTAGCCTTATGGCCTCGTTCATGACAATTGTGGCAAATGATCTGGTGACTGAACATTCGCTTGTTGTTTGCTACAGGATTCTCAGGAGCAGGGAGCGCGAATGACGGATGAGTAAACTTACATTCTTTCCCTAAAAACAGGGATAAAAAGTCTATAGGAAAAGGGAAGAAGTCGTGCATTCAAATTACTGCACAAACTTTTTGAAAAAACAGAACATTACTCACCGTCAGGACAGAAACCAGCGAGATAATTAGGGCATATCACTCGTCTTCGATGACGATGCTTGCAGTAGGGCCCTAAAAAGAAAAGTAAGAAATCAGATGATTTCATAGCAATTATGAATTCTTGAATCGGTTTTCAAGCAAACATTCCAGAATGAGCACTTTCAATTGGCCAAAACTTGTCAATCCCTCCCTTTCGCTCCACTCTGAAAACAAACTGACCATGTCGACAAAATCCTCGGTCGTACCAAGGGCAATCTCGCATCTTCG